AAGGTGGAAATTTCATGAAACAGTTTCTAATCCACAGTAGTGACTCAATAGATCTTGGTCATCTTTGCTGCATACCTTCTCTTCCTTGTTCTAGAAAAAAAAAAAAAAAACCCACTAGGACAAACATCTTCACTGGAGCTCACCTAGGAGGGCACTGTGAACTGGCACTGAGGACAGTTTAGGACTGTCTGTGGTAAGGGAAACACAGCCAGGGGAGTAATGCTTGCCCGGGGAGTAATGCTTGCCCGGGGAGTAAAAACTTTCCCACATCTGCTAGGCAGATCAGTTAATAGGGCTCGGTATAGGTTATACATAAAATAGAATAACAGAGTGGCTTCCAAGCCCAGATCTAGCACAGCAGCCAGAGTCACAGCCTACAGCAACTCCACAGGCCTGGGAGCTTTGGGGTTTCAGTTAACTCAGGCATGTTATAAATCTGTACATGTGGAAAAAAACAAAAATGATGTCTCTCTGGCTGGCCCCCTGAATAACTGTCCTCGGGAGGCCAAGAAAAGCACAGCTTCCCTTGCAAATTCCTTAATCATCTCTCTCAAATATGAGTTTTCCATGCAGCTGCACGGATAAGGACCTAGGCAGAGACCAAGGAGAGCCTTGCTTCCTAGACGATCCTTGGCCCTGGGGATAATTGAGTGTTGAATGAATGGCTACAATGTGTGTCCCACATGCCTCGGAAAATGCTTATAGTTTCCTAGGGTTTGTCTGTGCCCTGGACTTCATGAACCTCTTTTACCAGTGAATTGGATAGACACAAGAAGGCAAGTTGTCACTTAATATGGCTAAGCTTTAAAGGCTGTTCTAAAGTCAGAAGTAGAAGTGCAAGTTAGGAGACGCTTAGGCTGGCAAGCATCTCATATGAAAAACATTTATGGATTTTACTGGACTTCAAGAAAGGCATGAGTCACCCGGACACTGTGGTTGCCTTAAAGAAACAAGAAAAGGGGCAGGAGACATCCCATGTATTGGGATAGCTCTAGAGCCAAGAGGATGAGGAATAGAGTGGATCACCGAGGGGGAAAAAGAGGGTCAGATTAAAAAGACCCAAAGGGTAAATTCTTTGAAGAGTGGCTGAAGGGAAATCAGTTCACTCAGTGATTCAGCCCTACCATATGGAAAAGGAGTAATGACAATTAATGTATTCTCTAAGAGGGAAATTGGGTTGTATGTGTGTGGTGGAAGGGGGGTGCATGCAAACATACATAATGGCTTCAAAGAAGAAAAAAAATAATTTTAAAGTAATTAGCGCAGGCCAGAAGAAGGAACCATTTCATTAAATTATGAGTTTTCTGTCACTAGAACTATTTGAGAGCTGAAGGATGACAGCACTGAACGCCAGCTCACGTTCAGTGACCAGTAAGATCACGCCTGATTCTCAAAGTCTATGATTTAAGTGTTAATGCCAAGGCCACACAGGACCCGCCAGAGCAGTCTTTTCAGCCCTTGGCTCTGACTCTGACCAGCTGTGTGACCTTCAGCTGAGAACACCCACTTCCCTGCCCCAGGTTTTTTCATCTGGCTTTAACAAATGCCTCAGTTGCTCCCTGCTACATCTGGCCCCTTGTATAGCCTTACAGCACGTGGGAAAAGGAAGTTCTGGCCGGCTTGCTATCTGCCTTAAGTCTTTCTGCAGAGGGAAAGCTTCAAGGAAGCCCAAACCACTGAGGGTGGAGGCCAGGGAACTAAACTCTCAGCTTGCTCATTGGTTGGAGAGAGGGCCCCTGTGCAGCTGCAGTGTGTTCTCTTGAGAACGCCAACAGGAAGCTGATCAAATAACTCGTTGATCTGTTTTCTCTCAAACACCTGTTCTGACTTCAGCTCTGACTCTTGAAACAACCGGAGAGAAACGAAGGTCATTTTACAACTGTGCTGCACCGCTCCGTCTTTGGCAAACTTCATTCTCTATTTGCTTAGTGAGCTGGCAATTGCCTTTTGAGTTTTGTTTATGATCGCTGGAACAGACACTCACAGAGAAAGTTGTGGCAGATTTCTTCTCTATTTTTTCTCATAAATCAATTTCTTTAATTAGCTTATAAATTGAAAATTTAATGATAAATTGGCAACATGGATCTTTCTCCCACTATAGAAAGGGTTAAGTGGGGACTGAAGAGATGGCACAGCGGTTGCTCTTCTAGAGGACCCAGGTTCAATTCCCAACACCCACATGGCAGCTCACAACCGTCTGTAACTCCAGTTCCAGGACACCTGATGTGCTTCAACAGGCGAAACAAAAACACCAATGCACATTAAGAACAAGAGAGAGAGGGGGGGGGAAAGTGATTATTTTCATTTGTCCTACTGATGGGAACTCTCTATTTTCTGGATTCCATAGTTGACCAGCTGTGGCTTATTTTGTGGCCCACTTCATCCCTTATCCCTTTGTCCTTGCCTGAGTCAAGGTGTATCATTCCCACACCATTGCATGCTTGCTTTCTGACATTCCTTCTTTGACTCTTGTCTAAAGCTAGTATCAAATTCTACAAATTCTGTTTCCTTCCGTCCCCCCTCCCAAGACCTTTAGTAATATACTTTTCAGCATACATGTCAGTTTGTTTTGATGTTGACATTGAGGGCATGAACAGGTTATAAAATATCTCCCCCAGCCACTGAGGTCAGCTGGGGAAGAAGTAGGAGAAGTCAGGCCGCTTGCAATGCGCTGAGGAATCTAAACCTCCATTCCTTGGCTGGCAGATCTGGCCATACTCACCCGTTCCAAATACAGAGTCACATTTTCTCCCCATCTCTTTGTTTCCTTAGATTGGAAATGAAAACAGCTGTTAAAAATATGAGCTCATGAGTCATCTTGAGTCCCCACATGATAACTACAGTTTCCATCTCACTCCGTCCAATCCTTCCCAATGTGTTGAGCCCTGTGTCACATCTCACTGTGGGGAGACCGCTGCCGCTGGCATTGGTGATTTCATAGAGCGACCTTAATTTTCATTTTTTAATCCTCTGAGGTTAAACACTAAATGAGTTGCCAAGTCAAGAAAAATAACAAGAAAGAAGATACTTCAATTTGAAAACTTGATTTGTGGGGCAGGCCATTTTTGCAATTTTCCCTTTGGAGCAGAACTCTATGTTGATGTCAGAGATGTTTGTTCCTCCTCTGATTTTGAAGGTGTCCTCCTAGGCTTCCTGGTACTCTGACTATGGAGTCTCTTTAACCCTTATAGCTACTATGCCCTAAGCTGTGTTTCTTCTTTTAAGTGCCTGGTGCTTTAGAATCTAGTAAACCAAGTTCAAAGAAGGTAATCCACACTGTCAGTTGGTTGCTACCTGCCAGGACAGACTGATTCTCTTAAGTCATGCCCAGTCCCCATAACCATTTATGACTAAGTAATTCTGTCAAGTGCTATGATGTCATCCCCCTGCAGTGAACCAGCTGCCTTCATTCTAATAGCACCCATACTTGCAGATTATAGATGATGCATAGACTATAGTTTCTAGCAATAGAGCCATGTGCCATTCTGTAGTTGAAGCTTGCCCTTAACCTCCCTTCATTTCCTCCTTCTAGAAGTGGATTTTTAATGGTGTGTGTGTGTGTGTGTGTGTGTGTGTGTGTGTGTGTGTGTGTGTACGTGCGCACGCCACTGGGCTTAAAAATGTATCAAATTTAGGACCAATTCATGCTAAGTGAACTCTCTACCACTGAGCTGAGCTCCCAGAAGTACCTGGTTAGACTATTTTTACATTTTAATTACATTTACCCTCTGAGCCATCTTGCTAGTCCAAGATTATCTTTAAAGTTCATTTCCCACATCAAAATCTCTACAATTCCATTACCATTTCCTCCTCCAAGAACTAGTTTTAGCTGGTGTGGTGATACATGCCTGTAATTCTAGCACTCAGGAGGCTGGGACAAGATTGTGAGTGTTCCAAGTATGCCTGGGCTACAGAGTGGGTCCTCAAGCAAACCTGAAGCAAAAAAGCAAAACAAACCAAACCAAAAAAAAAAAAAAAAAAAAAAAAAAAAAAAAAAACACACACACACACACACAAGACAAAAGACTACCAGACACATAGTGTGACTTATGGAATTCTGGGCAGGTTATTCATCCCCAGCCTCCATCTCCATACCTTACATTCCACTACTGAACAGTCATTCCTTTCCTTTCTGGTGAGATATTACTTCTCAGCTATAATACCATTAAAATGCAATGTTTTAGCCAGATAGTGGTAGCACATGCCTTTATTTAATCCTGTCCCTCAGGAGGCAGAGGCAGGCAGATCTCTGTGAGTTCAAAGCTAGCTAGGGCTGCATGAAGAAATCTTGTCTCAAAAAAAAAAAAAAGGTAATACTTTTGGAGGGACAAGCTCATCAGGCTAAGACATGCAATGTAATGATTAGAAGCAGACTTAAAGTCAGATGCTACCTCAGCAGCTCTACCTGGATCTTCTACTCACTCGCTATGTGACCCCAGGCTATTAATTCAGCTTTCTATTCCTTGTCAGCCTCATCTGTCAAATGAGGTGATAACAATGCTTTCCTCTGGGAATTTTGTCAGTTCTCAATGAAGTAGGTGATGTGTTTAAACAAACAGTACCCTGTTATGTGTCATCAAATATCATTTGCATTTGTATAAATTAGCAAACTATATAGACATGCCTTTGACAGAAAGGGCTGATGTCAGCTCACAGAGAAATTGGACTTTAGCTTGGGTTCAGATGCACCATTAATGGATTGCTCATATGAGAGGTTCATTAATGGTGGCGTGCAATCACTCGGTGCCCAGGGAAAGCATTTGAGGCAGGTGGGAAAGAGGGAGAGAGGTAGGGGGAAGATGGTGGTGATCCTGACTACTTTGCATCAGTGTGGATGGTGAGTGAGCAGTATGATATGCAGATGGACCCTAATGGACTACTTGCTTAGCTTTCTGGGTTCTCATAGTTTCATACAGAAAATGTCAACTCCTTGAAGAACCATAGAAAAGTACAAAATAGCATTTCTCTTTATTAAATGCCCCCTCCTTTCTTTCTTTTAGATTACATGAAGCAGACGACATTTGAAGCCCAAGCCTTTTTAGAAGCTGTGCAGTTCTTCCGGCAGGAGAAGGGTCACTATGGTTCATGGGAAATGATCACGGGGGATGAAGTCCAGGTAATGTGGGGCTCAGAGTTATGGGTCCCCTCTTTATCTGTGTAGTAGGAGGTCAGGACCATTTAACAAATGACCCACAGGAAGTTGCACAAATAGGAGTTGTGGCTCCCAAGCCATTTTCTTCAGTTGTCACTAAGTGGTTGGGTACCTAATATGAAGACCAGCAGACCTGGCATTCACCAGGGCAGCCCACAACACTTCTGTTAGGTCACTAAATGTGGAAAGCCAGGAGTTTGCTCACAATGATGGATATGCTCTTGGTTGTTTTGGAGTATAAGCTGAAGGTCTCCCCTATCTCTGTGTTGAGTATGTACATACACATACACATATTGATTTTGGGTTGCAGGTGCTGCGGTAGAAAGAGATAGTCACCAAATGCTAATCCTCCATTTTCTGAAGGAGCAGAGGGATTCAGCCTTCTTGAAAAGGACTGACACCCAGCTAGCTAACTCCAGTTACTCTATTCAAACATATACAAGGTTAATAGGGGCTGGGAAAGTTTCCAACTACCAAAGTCATCTTGCTCTTGCTGCCAGAGAGCAGACAACACACACAGATCCCAGTCCCTTTTGATCATGGCAGCCTTAAGCAAATATAAGAGGTCCATGTCTGCCAGGAGTGTCTTAGGACCAAGGCCGGTGCAGCTGCAAGCTCTCACGTAGCACCAAGTGCAGACTCTCCAGAGAGAAAACATTTCTTCAAGGATTAAACAGTTCCAAGACAATTTCTCAGCCTCTACTGATTAACCCAAACACAGCAAGGGCCTTGATGAAACATTTCACTCAAAGCCAGACACAGAGTCTTTACACATCACTCCATCCATGCACATATTTGTATATTCCCAACCCGAGGACACTTTAGGATTTTCAACAATTCTTTGTCTCTGATATTTTGCAGAAGTGCATCAATTTAAAACTTTGAGAAGATGAAAGATTTACAATATTTTATGCCCCAAAGAAAACCCAATATATAAGAAATGGAAGCATTTGGTTCTGACTAGCCAAGCAAATAGACAATACATTTAACAGTGAGCAGATAATTAGCAGAGAGACCTGTATTAAAATGCTCTTGTGTGGTATTTTATAATGTTCGCATCCTAAGTCGGTTTGTCCTGGCAGTCTTATGAGTGGGAAGGGAAGTTAGAGTGGAGGAACCCAGAGGAACATAAGAGCTAAGTGACCTGTGCAGTCTTATGCAGACAGTAACTTTAGTGCCCACTCTTTACTAGGCGCTGTGCTGGGTGCTTGTGATTCAGAGCTCACGTGAGAGGATAGTCCCTGCCTGTGCAGACGGTCTCAGGGTTGTATGACAGGGTTATATAGAAGACAGGAAATCTGTCTTCTGCCTCTGACCAGGAGCCCAACACTAGTCATGGAGATAGGCTGGTGTTTATCATCTCCTGGAGTTGGGCTATGGCACTCGCTTCATATTTTCTTTCACTCACGATCTTAATAGTATGTCAGTTCACATTCCTTTACACTGAAAACAAATATTTAATAGACTTTTGCTGGGGTTGAGTATTTCAGTTATTTGTGTTTCCTCTCTACCTTTTTCCTCTAGGCTGACATGTGCTAAGTGCTAAAGTTCAAGAGAACTGAATGACCCTTTTAATGTTGTTCTCTTCCTAGTAATGACTCACACAAGCATGGCAGGTCTTCACGGTGATGGTTATTTTAGGTGAAGGTCCAGGCAGAGCAGTGTCTCAGAATAACATGCCTGGCAGACTGTTAAGGTGAAAATATTTGTATGCTGGTAAAAAAAGCATCAACACTATTTGTCAATACGAGCTATGAGCACTATCAAATTAAATCATGAGAGAAAATCTGCAAAAATGTCAAGTAGCTACAGGTACCACGTGTATTTATTATCTGCCTTTAAATTAGCCAGGTAGGTGACCACACGACTGTCTCTGGCTTCCCTCAGAGCTGCCTGGCTGTGTGACCAGAAAACTTCCCACATTGAAGGTCTTGCCTTTTCCTTCTGGACTGGTCTTCATTCAAATGATTTTGAATGTGATTCTCTAAACAGATACAATGCCTACAGGCCTTCAGTAACACAGGGGCCTGGGGCCAAGGAGCCAGTCAGACCCGGGGCCTGCCTTCAGAAGGGGCAGCATCCTTCCTGAGAGTCACCCCTCCTCACAGCTCTCAGCCTGAAAGGAAACATGGTGTGGTGTGGCCCTCAGTGAATGGTTCGGGTTTTGTTGTTGCTGTTTCAGGGGACACAGTCTCAGCATGTAGCTGAGGCTGACCGCAAACTCTTCCCCACTCCCAGCTTCCTTAGCCATATGTTGGGGGCACACACCACCATGCTCCACTTGTTTTGTTCATTTTAATTAATCTGATGTCACATTTGGTTTCATACATGTGTGATGACATTTTAATCTCCATGTCTCAGCAGCTAAAATTTCCCACCATCTTCTCTCCTTTTTAAAATACAAAATTATGAAAATTTTATTTTAGGTTCCTTATGGTGAAAGTGTGTTCTACTTGATGGGGAGGTCTGAGAACCTTATTATTATTTTTTTTATTAGATTAGCTACTTTCCCTCAACAAGCCCCACAGGCTTAGGACTTTGTTTATAGAGAGCTGGCCAGGTCAGGTGACCCTGAGTGGGCAGGACAGGGGCAAAGTGGTGTCAGGATGGAGATGCTGTGAGAGGATGAGGAAGATGGTGTGTGGATAAGGTGTGATTTGGCGCAGCACCACAGGCTCTGGCAGCTTCAGGGCTATTTCCCAACCCCTACCCACCCACCACTCTTGTAGCTTCTCTTCCCCCTCTTTCTTCTTTTCCCCAGACATATTTTCTTTTCAAGTCCCCAAGTTGTAAAATAGAAGCAAATTTCTTGGAACATTGTGTGGGAAAGACCAGAAAAATGCAAGCCCACCCAAATGGAATGTTGGTTGTCTTTGGCTTTTGTGTATAACATTTGTGTTTTCTCAGATCGGTTCACACTCATGCTCAAAATCAATCCAGACTCTGCAGAAGGACAAATTAGGATACTTGTGATTCTAGAGTTTAAGGCTTTTCAGCTATGACAGCATTTCCTATTAAGTTTGCTTTAGTCTCTGTCCCTCTTAGCTCTGTCTACTCATGCCATGCACCATAACTCTTGGGTGTAGGTTCCAAACAAGAACTTACTCACTCAGGATGTGGCCTCTGGACCATGAGTTACCTGTTGAATTTAATTACTGAACCTGCTACTTTCCATGATGTTTGCATATGTTTCTTATAATGTTCTCAAAAAAAAAATGGGATTCATCTCTTAATGGTGAAGTCACAGAGTGGCTAAGAAAGGCAAACACAAGCCCAAGCCCATCACTGACTGTGGACCTGTGGAAGCCCTGTCTGTTACTTCATCACTTGAGGCAGATCCACAATGAAGGAAGGGCAGATGGGAGCCCTTCAGGCTGTACTGAGCCTAGCAGCTCCTTTCCCAGGAACCCAGGGGCCCAGAGGAACAGCCTGCTTGTCACTCAGTCCAGAGTGTCCACCTGCCATGCTAGAGCCCTGGAAAAAGGCTGGGTCCAGTGAGCTTGTGAGGGTGTCCGCTGGCTTGTGGCTGCACAGGGAGCTCAGAGAGAACTTCCTTAATTCCCAATGTAATTTGAATTTTTATGAGAAGGAGGAGGTCAGTTGTTTTGGATAAATGTTATTTCAACTTCACAGACCCGATGTCTCGAGTGGTCATGCGCTCTGCTGCCTGCTGCCGATCTCAGCAGCACACACGCCTTTTAGCTGCTTTACCTGAGCTGTGACCCTGAGATGATCCTTGGTTAAGTGAGTCTGAGCAGCAGAGACACCCCAAGTCAGGACTGGGGGCAGAGAAGGAGGGGTGGAGACGTTATGAGTGGCCATGCGGAGTACCGCTCAGACCCAAGGAAACATGTGCATGCTCATCACATTAGGATAGGTTTGTGGATGTTCCTCCAAATCACTCTGAAAACTTTAGGTGTCCCCTTAAGTCTGCTTAGCCCACAAATGTCAAATTGTTTCATAGTATTTGGTGCTAATTTATCTTTCTATCATTTGTCTAGCAGGGTCCAGATTTCTTAAACATACTTTTCACAAGCACTCATGACATTCCAGTCAGTACATGGATAACTGAAAGTGTGTAGCAACTTTCCAGCTACCTCCTCCAGTGGAAACTGCAGGGGAAAGCCGCTGTGAACACAGTGTTGTCTTCATTCCATCAACAGGGAATGTTCACACTAAAGGTCTGCACTTCGCAGTTAGCATGTTACTGAGTACATTTTCGCCAGCCAACCTTGGCTTTCAGGAAATGACAGGGAAATGGCAGAATCAGCCATCAGATGACCGACAGCCAAGAGAAGGAGCCACTTGCTCTCGAAAAAGACTCGTCTCCATGACATTGCTGCAAAGTTGACATACCAGTAGCTAGCTTGGGGGGTCAGGTTTTAACAGATCTCTGGGTTTAATGACATTAAATATAAAAAGCAGAGTGGGAGAAGAGAACAGAAGAAAGAATTTTACTTTTGTTATGCCATAGACATTAGCGCAGATGGCTGTGTGTCCCTGGAAGGAAATCTCTTCTCCTGGGAACCAAGAGACAGCACTTCCAAACTATGAAACAAAAATATTTCTCTAGTAGCAGTACAGCGAGGGAAACGATTATTAATGACATATGCCCCTCCCCTTAAAGCACAACGAAGCAATGAGATGTTCTGTTGCTTAACTACATGAGTTGAAAACAAGTAAAAATTCTGCAGCTTTGGCTTGCTTGTTGTTTTGAGACAGGGTCTCACCAGGTAGTCCACACTGACCCGGGGATGTTTCATCCTCCTGCCTCAACCCCTTAAGTATTGGAATTAGAGGCAAGTGCAACCACATCCAGCAAAATGTCCTTTAAAAATAATCTTTTAAAGTATGCAGTGCCCAGGTATGCACAGTCACACACACACACACACACACACACACACACACACACACACCACAGAGAGGCATCAACAGTGCCTTCAGCTCTCTGTGCCTAATCTGTTTTGACATCCATGCCCTGCTGGCAAGTCCCATTTCTACCAGCGTCTCCCTTGTCCCTTTAGTACATTCTCTTGCTCCTTTACAGGGTTCTTTTAAGCATGGTCTGTTCGGAGGGAGGTTAACCAACCACCTGGAAGAGCTTCTCCAGTTTTGTCCACCACCTTAGCTTTATCTCCCATAACACCACCCCTTTCATTGGGCATGCAAGCAGTGATGGAGGACACCAGTACTGGACTGGGCAGTGGGTACAAGTCTGGAGTGGGCTGGCAGTTGCTGTCACCTCTTCTTTACTCGGTCCCTTCCTTCTTTTTGTAAATACTGGAGGATGGAAAGCATGGGAGGAGTTAAGAGTAAGGAGAATGAGACATGAGGCTCGAGTCCTAGGAAGACAGACCAGGCTCAAGTGGTCACATCCAAACTAGCTTGTCCTGTTTAAGGATGCCCTATCTGCCATTGAAAGCTCCCCTCTCAACTCTTAAAATCTGTGGTAGGGATGCTGAAGTGGAGCTCTTCACAGTTGATGGCTTCTGGGTGGATGGAGGTGGGAAGGACTCGGTTGTCTTTAAGGGGCTGCCCACTGGGAGTTTGACCATGCTCCAGTGACTAAGTATATGGGCAATATGAATTGGACTTGGTATTTTATCTTTTCTTTCCTTTCCTTTTCTTTTTCTCTTTTTCTTTATGTGGCATAACAGGGAGGGGAGGGTGGACCTGGGAAGTAAATGTGATCAGGGTACGTTATGTGAAACTCCCAAATTATCAATAAAAATATTGTGTTGGAAAAAGAAATCTCCCCTGTCATTCTAAACACATGAGGTCCTTTTAGTGTGAACATAAAGAGTTTGAATTTGAGGAAAATGGTCTTCCCATTGAGATAACAGCAATAGAGGCACATCTGTTCCCTGTGAATGTTGAAGAATGTTCACTTCTGAGAATGTGAACCAAGATTCCTGTGCTCATCATATGCAACAGCCATAGGTCCATCCTTAGCATCAGTGCTCATTGTCTCTTATTGCTCATTCCCCCACCTCTGAGCCTGTGTAGCCCAGGACAGGAACACTGACATGAGACCTCTAGCTAGCCTTTGTCCACTGATGCCCTCCTTTACCCTGCAGGTCCTGACTAAGCTGGTGATGGAGGAGCTCCTGCCCTCCCTTCAGACTGACCTGCTTCCTAAAATGAAGGGGAGGAAGAATGAGAGGAAGAGGGCCTGGTTTGGTGTAAGTGACAATGTTGCTTTGCAACTGTGCTGTCAAAATGAACGTTCCCATCTCTTTACTTTTTAAGGCTTTTGGTGTTGTTTTTAAAATCATTCCTTCCTAGGTAGAAAAATGTCTACCTTGAGCCTGCTCAGGCTCACTGACATAAGAACTAATCCAAACAAAGTTGAACTTGCAGTTTGAATGTTTCTGGGTTTTGTTTATGGGAGAGGCTGTGATGGGCCAGCTTCTTTAGCCCTTTAGTCACGGATCACGCGCTGCTCTGTGTTGCAGCTCCTGGAGGAAGCCTACAATCTGGTTCAGCACCAAGTGTCGGAAGGACTAAGTGCCTTGAAGCAGGAGTGCAGAGCTCTGACAAAGGGCCTGGAAGGGACCATCCGCTCAGACATGGATCAGATTGTGAACTCAAAGAACTTCCTATCTGGGAAGATCAGAGGTTGGTGGAGAACCCCCCGCTGCTCCTAATAAATAAGCTGGCCCTTGGAGATCCACACATAGAGAGAATGTGTTGGCCCTCTGTACCCAGGGCTCTCACAGATTCAACCAACCACAGATGGAAAATGCCCAGGGAAAAGTGTATGCAAGGATCAAGTGTGGTCCCTGTTAGTCCCCAGACAACAGTGTGACAACTGTGTGACATCTACATTGACTTAAGTGTTACAAATAAACCAAAGGTGACTTAAAGCATACAAAGTATACAGTTGGATGTGCAAGGTTCTATTAAGAGACTATATCATTTGATAGCAAGAATTTTGGCCTCCTCTGAGGTGCGGGTGGAGGGATCCCAGAACCAATTGCCCTTAGATAGTGTATCTGGATTCAGAGAAGAATTAAGCCAGGGGAGTTGAGGGGAGACAATAGCAGCTGTAGTACGAGCAGTCTGTAGTATTGTTAGGGATCCTCATCTTACCCTGGGTGCTTTGCACACTCAAGACAGAGGGAATCTTACTTCTGCTTGGTGAAGGTGCCTGTGTATTATGGTAAAGAACATGTTTTTCTTTAACAGAAAAGTCTCCAATTTTTGCTTAGGGTCAGTCAATCCGTATTTGTAGCCCCAAGTCAGTGTACATATTAGCCAGTCAAGTGTTCTTGAGGAGGACTCTCGGCTTCTGTTTGCCTTAGTCTCCTAATCTGAAATTGGAAGGGCTGACAAGAGTGTGGCTGGCAAACTGTGGTCCTCAAACTGGATCTGCCCCCACTGTTTCCATAGATGATGTCATTCTGAACACAGTCATGCTCATTCACGAGTTCCCAGTCTAAGCTGCTTCATGCTGCCACATCAGAACTGAGTTGCTGGAATCTTAAGTGGCACCTTAAGGACTGCAGAGCCACTCAAATCCACTGTTTGGCCCTTGGCAGGAAATGGCTGGCCCGTCCCCACACAGAAGCCTTCGGTAGCCTTGGCAGGATCTGTAGGATACTTTCTGTGGTTCCATATTGTTTAAGTCCTGAACCCAATGCACAGAGGGCGCTTAGTGTCTCTGCAGAGGGAAGGTGTGCAAGCGCCTCGATAACCGTTTCTCAGCAATGTCTCTGGATAGACAGTGCTCAGATGATGGCTCCCACACTGAACATTTGCTAAGTGCCTTCTGAGCTAGCAGGGGAGCCTGAGATGCTGTGCTTCTGAGGTTGCCTGTCTAACAAGGTTGTCTGCCTGGCAGATTATTGCCTGCAATACACACTTCTTTATACTACAGCCCAAGGAGCTTCTGAGCTCTTAGGATGGTTCCTCCTGGGAGGGGCAAGTATGTGGTGTTTGTGGGCGTGTTTCTGCATCACCTCCAAAGCCAGGTACAGATTAACACCAGTGTGGCTTCTGTTTAATATTGTTCAACCTCACAGCCCATACAAGAGGAGTGTATGTTGCAATCCTATATATACCTAAAACTGCCAACATTCTGTTCTCCCAGGCCCATCCAGGCCTAACTACCCAGACTGAAATCTGACTAATCTCTCCCTAATTTTTTGTAGCTCCTGGAGTAGTAGTTTCCCCCTAAAATAACTCTTTAAGGAAGTAATGGACAATCCTTTTTTAAAACAAAGTATCGGGCAGGTGCACTGGACTCACTAGTAATCTTTAGCACCCAGGAAGCTGTGGTCAGGAAGATGGTGAGTTCCAGGCTAGAAAAGAAAGTAGTGTGACAATTGCAAAAACAAAGAGGAAGAGAGAGGAGGGAGGAAGAAAGGCAGAGGGGAAGGAAAACATAGCAGACACATTTTAACTGGGCCCCTGCTTCTCTACCTTTAAAACAAGGAAGCTGGCTGCATTGATGGAGGGTGTTCGATTTTGGGAAAGCTTCAGGAGTATTAAGTAGTTGTCTTGGTCAATGTTCTATTGCTGTGAAGAGGCACCATGATCACAGCAACTCTTATAAAAGAAAGCATTGAGCTGGGGTCAAGTACAGTTTCAGAGACTTCATCTGTTAACATCATGGCAGGGAGCATGGCAGCACACTTGGTGCTGAGAGGTCTACATCCGGGTCCACAGGCTACAGAGAGAGAGAGAGAGAGAGAGAGAGAGAGAGAGAGAGAGAGAGATTGAGCCTCAAAAGCCCACTCTGGGTGGCACACTTCCTCCAATGAGGCCACACCTCCTGATGCTTCTCAAGCAATGCCACGCTCTGACGGCCAAGCATTAAAATATCTGAGCCTATGGGGACCATTCTTATTCACACTGCCACAGTAGTCATCGTTCCATTTCTACCCCTATGGCATTGATCTTCCACTCTGCCCCACAATTTTCTGGTCAATAAGAACTCATTCTGCTCATGCTGAGTGTAAGGACCAAGACGTTCCGGTCAATACCCTTTTACAACGCAAGAAGTGAAGCATTTTGTAGATGCTGAGACAGAAAGAAAAGGTGATAAATGCTCCCAGAGAAGCCAGGACCGAAAGGACCATTTTGGAAAACTGGGGGGGGGGGTCTCTTAAGCAGGGTACAGCTTTAGAGTGAGAAAGCCTGTGGTCCTGTGCTCAAGTGCCAGCACTGTCCATCCTATTTAACAGATAGGAGAATTGAGACCATGGTCAAGGAACATTCCTGACGCCCCCAAGCCTAGTGTACAGTAGGCTCTGACCCCAGCCCCACCAGCCCTCTAAGCTTCTCAACAGTTGGCAAACAAACGTCAGGGAGGCTCTAGAATTGGTGTCACACCAGCGCAGTCACCACAGCCTCGGCCCTGTGTACTTGGAAGAGTATGTACATGTGGGATTCCAATTTTACTCAGGCTGTAAGGAAACCTGCAGGCCACAGTTCACAGTTTGTGTGTGGGTGTGGGTGGTCATTAGGTTGTTCCAGGTACGTGACACATGACCTGGACCCTGAAGACATGATGGAGTAGAGGAAGGGGGGCCAGGTGAAAGGACACTGGATGAAGGGGTCGGGGCTGGGCTGGAACACTCTGCAGTTAGTAGCAGGCAGGAAAGGCTGAGGAAAGTTCACGGGCCCTCTCTACGCACCTCTCCAGCAGCATTCCCAGCATTGCCAGAGCACTGTGGTGTAATGTCAATGCTCAGGGTTATCCTGAAACTCCAATTAGTGCTTTTCAAACGGCTCCTCTCACAAAGTTAATTAACCGACAGTTTATTTCTCTTCACAAGCACTTTTGCAACTTGGTTTCAAACAAGTCCTTTTTAAAAATTTCACAAAACTCAAATAGTTTTGTATTTGAATCTATCATCAAAGGGGCCTTTTGTTTATTCGTTGATTATTTCATGCATGCATACAATAGATCTTGATTATATCTGCTCTCAACTCCCCTCTTTCACTCACCCTCCACATTCCCACCACCTCCATCTTCATTCTCTCTCTCCCTGGTAAACCCTGTGTCCACCTAGTGCTGCCTGCTAGAACCTTGACTGATCTTCTGCAAGCCATTTTTTTAACACCGTTCATTCATATGTGTGTGTGTGTGTGTGTGTGTGTACAAGCATTGCAAATGGGTGTGCACATTTCACATGTGTGGAGGTCAAAGCAGAAGTCAGTTCTCTCATTCTGCCATGTGGGTTCTGGGGATCACCTCAGGTCCTCAGGCTTGGCAGGAAGTGCCTTCATACACTGAACCATCTTGCTGGCCTCTGTACAGGTCTTGAGCAGGTAACCATAGCTCAGTGAGTTCGTGAACACAACACGAACATGGCACACCCAGAATAACTTAAAACGTTCTGAATTACAATCCTACATTTGCACATCAGTCTTGACGTTGGCAAAGTCATCTGATGTAGTCAGCTTTCTCTTTTTTTTTTCCATTTGTAAAGTGGCAGGATTGGACATCCAGAGCAGCTGTTTCTTCCCTTTTTGGTTGTGTGATAATGTGACAGAGCTATGTGACCCACTAACCCTCATCAGGTTGGTCTTCCCAGTCCATAGTGTGCTCCTCCTCTGCTGCATCACTGTTTCTGAACCTAGGTGGCCAGGACAATGCCCTCTGCACCAAAACATGCAGATTCCCTACCCTGCTCAGTTTCATGGAGCCAAGATCGAAAACAGTGCCTGTCTCTGTCTAGAGGGTAGGATGATGGTGACATTGTTTTCCTCCCTCTCATGATTTCGTGTGTGTGTGTGTGTGTGTGTGTGTGTGTGTGTGTGTGTGTGTGTGTGTGTGTGTGTGTTTCCTTAGCCTGGCATCCTCATCAGAAAGATGTCATTTTTGCTTGGTCTTAAGTTAATGATATGGATGGACAGTCAGTGGCAAACTGAATGGAACTTGGTGCCATTTCCTGAGATTATATTTGAGCTTTTAAAAGTCTCTTTGGCGGTAGAAGGTGGGTGGAGTTACACTGAATGGGTTAGTGCTTAAAGAAATGAATTAGAGCTGATAAATTCTAGATGACAAAGTGTTCATCCGTGACAATGACAATGGAGAGTGAATTTGTTTGGCCACTGTACATTTGTGGAGATCAAACAGAGGACTGCATTCTTCCCAGTACTTTATGAAGCTTGCAGAAGGAGACATCCTAGAGACACCCTAGGTCTCAAAGCATGGCTTTCCAGCCTGGTGAATGCCAGCAAGGGACCCACTATGCTAGTCTGCTCTGCCCATCTGAACTTGTACGTGGGGCCGGTTAGCTGTGACATGGTCTCTGAATCTAGTTTTGCCCTAAACCTTGCTTGCCTTTGACCTTTTTCTTCTTCAGCAATGGTAGCTCAGCCAGCGGAGAAAAGCTGTGGGGAGAGTGTGCAGCCGTTCCTGGCATCCATCCTGGAGGAGCTGATGGGGCCAGTGAGCTCTGGCTTCAGTGAAGTGCGTGCACTTTTTGAGAAAGAAGTGGGTGAACTCAGCCAGAGCTTCCACGGCAGCCAGGACAGTGTCCAGCTGAAGGAGGTAGGAGAGCAAGTGGAGGAGCCCAGGCTCCTACCTCCCCATCACCTGCTATGCCCTCCTCTCCTTTTTCAGTCCCCTCTAACCTCTCCTCTCTCCTCTCCTTTTCCCTTCCATCCATTTATGGTATGTCTACTATCAGTCCAACTAACTCATTCATCTATCCATTCATAACTAAATCCACCTAATTTTCTTTATTAATGGTTTTTAAGTTGCAAAAATAATGTTTGTACAAGTGAAGCGACCAACTCAATGTATAACTCTGTGTCCACAAAGAGGCAAAATTAGTAACCAGAACTGATACCAACCGCTCCTAGTCCCTCTGTCTCCTTTCCCAAGCCCTTGAATTACTGATATAGCCAGGTATGTGTTTATCTGCATGCTTTATTTGTTCATATGTAAGTCTAGTTCCTTATTTTAAATAACAGTTGCTGCTTTGTTTCCACAGCTATAGATTCCTGATTGAACCCATTCTTGTCAATCAACAGTGACACCTCAATCTATTGAATCAGAAAGTGGGGGAGGGGTGTGATCTGCTCTGATAGGACCTCCAGCAGTGGAGATTTGCTGGCGCAGACACAGGCAGCTTTACCCATCATTAAGGACAGGACTTGTTAGGGCAATTATCTCTTTCTCCACCATTCCCCATATCAGTTAAAAGGGATTTTTCTTTTAATTGGTACATTGTAATTATACACATTTATGAGCTACAGTGTAACAGTGTTACCTATATCTTTGAAGGCAAAAGCCTGGTTCCAGTAGCCCCAACAGGCTATGCTCAGCTACCTGTCACCACATGCCAACAAAAGAGATGAGTAATGGTGACAGGTAGAGGAAAGAGGTATGTTTCATGTGCCCATCTTGGGAGAGGATCAGATAAAGGAGTCCAGAGACCCCAGTCTGTCTCCAAAATGCTAATGTGAGCTCTAGGCTTAAACAGAAAGAGAACTGGGCAGGGCCCTGATTAGCTCTGCTGGTCTTCTTGACCACTGTTACAGCTGCAGCTCTTCTTCCAGGTAGTCCTTTTCATCCTAACACTTCTGGGATCCATCTGGTCCCTACAGGATGGTCTCTTCTGCTCCGGTGTAGCCTTGCCTGCAAGGATAACTGCCCTCATCTCTGTGTGGATGTATTCTGGGAGGCTGTGCTTCTCCCAGGATCCAAAGTGACTGTAGGTTTCAGACAATGGCTTATCTCTGTGCCTTCAGCCAAAGTAAAGGAGACAGACATCCTAAGTGAAGGTAGAGATGCCCGCATTTTACTTATCCTGCTTTAGTTACCTGTGGGCCTACCTGAGGAGTCAGGTTTTTAGCAAAAGCAGCTTCTATATGCCTGTTTCAGCAGTTTATATGTGCAGATGGTGTGGAATGATCGAATAAGTAATTACCACTCTATTCCCTTAAACATTTTTCATTTCTGTGTGCTGGCAGCTCTTGGAGCTCATTATAGAATTCATGATAGATTGTTGTAAGCTGTAGTCACCTCCTGTGCTGCATTTTCCTCATTTCCTTGTGCACATAACCACATGTGTGATTTACAAAACCAAGATCATTTCATAAATGCCTTGATGCTTCTTATTACAGCCATGTGTGTGCATGTGAATGGGTATGTGTGTGCAGGTACTTGTGCATGTGTGTGTATGTATGTACGAGTGTGTTCATGCACCTCTGTGTTTGTGTATGTGTTTTAACTTGCCTTTATTCCCCTTCATTTTCTAGCGCCACTCACTTCTCCACAAAAAATTAGCACCAACTCGGCTTGTGCTATTCTGTACTTTCTGCCTGTTAGAAGATATAGAAAACACACACATTTCAGAGCTGTTATCTTCCATTGTTTGCTTTTAGAAAAATACAGTTATTTTATATAGTAAGCTGCTTATCATATTTCTTCTTCAAAATGATTTCATGAAACTGTTTCCAAGGTAACTGATCTAGTTCTGAATTGCTTTTTGTATTGACAGCATAATATTTCATGCTTAGAAATGCTGTGATTTATTCAGCCGTCCCATTATTGCTGACACCATGAACAAAGCTATAATAAATAACTTTGTACAGATAACCTACCATATTGTAGATACATGTTAATGTATATATGTACACATTCCTTATATCTTGACACTTTTATTTCAGTGGGATAGATTCCTAGGTTGAAAGATATATTTTCATGTTAACAGATGTTTCCCTTAAATTTCAAAAGGATAAAATTTTACATTGTACTGATTCGTTTGTGGCAGGAAGCCTTCTCCCCATGTTACCATCTGGGAGGGGTATTATCACTTACTTAAACTCTCAACAGTCTGATAGTAATAAAGTAGGCACCCATTTTTCCTCTCTTGTCTATTCAATTAATTCTTAAAGTAATATATTCCTGATGAATGGTGGCTCAGCAGTTAAGTACACTTGCTGCTCTTCCATAGGACCCAAATTTAGTGCTCAGCACTCAAATCAGATGGTTCAAAACCACCTGAAATTCCAGCTCCAGGGGACCTGATGCCCTCTCCTGGCCTTCTTGGGTACCTATGCACATATAAACAAACATAAATTCTCATAATTAAAAATAAATCTTTAAAAAAGAAAGTGATACATTTATAGTTGTAGGACAAAAGCAAATGCAACACTGATTTTCTCTTCTAATCTTTAATTCCCCTTGAGTAGACCTTTCTATTGTTCACTAAAGTGAATACCTTTTTCCTTTAAAGCACAATGGGATGGAACATTGGAAAATTCCTGTCAGACAGGGTCGCTTATGATATTCACACTCGCCTGCCTTTTGCACAGCTCCTCTTGAGAGCTTTCATTGTCAGCATTTCCCCTGTTTCCACCCATTCTCCTCTTCATCTTAAGCTTCCAGTGTTCAAGTTTAAAACCATCTTAAACTAAGCTTATAAAATGGAACAAGTTTCCACCCCTTAAAAGCATCTTGTGCAGGCTCATGAGCTCAGCAACAGTTCTCACTGCCAGAGAGGCCTGCCTGGCTGGTTCTTGAGTTCAGGAAGTGGGGACTTGGAGGCTACTGAGGATTTAAAGAGACTGGAGCCCCTGCTTGGGTGTGCCTCTGAGACTTCCTGATGCCTGGTTGGGTCTTCTGTTTCTTCCCTTGAAGTAGAGCTGCCCCAGGGGACCACAGAAAGAAAGAAGACAATTGACAACGTCTCGGATGGAGTAATCCAATACTCATAACACTCACTTTATCGTTTCAAATGTAGGTCTTGGTATTATGTAATATCGAGGAAAGATTGCTAAATCTAAGGGCTTTTCTCCTTCACCAAAATGCAGCACCTGGACCAGCTGATGAGGCTTCCTCTGGATTCTGTGAAGATGGAACCTTGTTATACTAAAGTCACCTTGCTTCCAGAGCGCCTGCTGGATCTCCAGAGTCGCTTCCGATTCCCTCACGTGGATCTGGTGGTCCAGAGGACTCAGAACTACATGCAAGAGGTGGGAGCAGAAGGGTATCCAAGAAGGAAGAGGGGGAGGCAAGAATGAAAGCAAAGCGAGAGGAGAAACACACGCTGGCAGATACGGGGGGGGGGGGGGGGCAGGGGTGTGCTCTGCAGCTCAGGGAATTGAGGCCTGTTTCCAGACTCAGGTTCACTGAGGACACTCACTGTCCTTCCAGCTGCCTTCATCTTTCCTCGGAAAACAAGAATCTGGGAAATAAAGTAGCATTAGCTGGTAATTATTTGATGGGTTGAGTCAAGGCTTCAAACTTTGGCTACGTATTAGAAACGTGGGGGAAATTTAAGAGCTACTGATGTGGTGTTCCACTCCTAGTGATTTCATAATTATACATATATATGCATATATATGTGTATGTGTGTATGTGTATAATGCCTCATAATATATTTGAAATTCTTAGAGAATGTCCTCTACTTCTATCCCACTGTTTCTAATATGCAGCCAGGATCTAGAAACACTGGCTGAATTCCCTACCTCATTGCAAGGAGACCCACTACAGTTTCATATTTCATTTTTGTTTTTAAAATTGACTTCATTGCATGTAGGTTTGTGCATGCCTGTTGTCTGTATGTGTACCATGTGCATGCAGGTGCCCTTGGAGGCTAGAAGACGGTATCAAATACCCAGAGTTACACCTGTAACTCCAGAATTGGGGAGGTTGAGGCAGGAGGATCAGATTAGGGATTTAAGGCCTTCTTTGTCTACATTGCAAGTTCAAGGACAGCCTAGGCTTAATGAACCCCTGTCTTTAAAACAACAAGAGATAAATGACAAAATTGTGGAACAATATAAAAAAAGTCCCTTGGATAATTCTGGATCCTGGAGAAACAAACACAGGCACAACTGCAGACTAAGCCATCTGAGCTGTGTCAGTTTCCTGAGCAATAAAGCCCTGTCCCCAGTGTGACAGTCACTACTGATATGGAGCCCTGACCCTGCCTCTCTCCTCTGCTCTACTAATGTCATTCCTCATTGCTGAGACAGAATGCCCAAAGGTACAACATAAGGGAGGAAGGGTTCCTTTTGGCTTACAGGTTGAGAGGGGACAGTCCATCAAGGCAAGAGGTCATGATGGAGTTCCGAGGTGGGAGCATGTGGCTGGCACCCAGGAAGCAGAGAGGGCTTGAGCTGGAGGTGGGACAGTACTGTGTTCCCCAAGCCCCCACCTCCTCCAGCAAGTCCTGCATCCCAAAGATCCAGTAACCTCCCCACACAGTGCTACCAGACAAGGACCAAGTGTTCAAAACCAGGGATGAGCCTACAAGGACCATTCCACATTCAAGCCGGCACTCTATTCATGCCTCTCAGAGGAAGAGGGGATATGGGATGGCAGGGCGGATGGTAGGACGGACAATTGAGGGAGTATGTGGCGCAGAGTGACTTATGTCCTTCTAGGTGTGCAGCTTTTCCCACCTTGTCATGTGATCTGTGTCTGCTCACATGAGCATGGAGGAGGAGAATGACCACAGGAGGCCATGGCTCTGAGTATCTCTGTACTGGGGTAGCCTTCCCACTAAGAATGATGGAACAAAAGGAAACCATTATGCAGACAGACAGATGGACGGACAGACAGACGGACAGACGGACGTGTGTATAGAGAAGGGTGCTTTCCACCCTCTTCTTTTCTCATAGTGGACACTAGGGTTTTTTGTTTGTTTGTTTGTTTGTTTGTTTCACAATCCAGGGAGTAGGGTAAGCACCGTGTCACCCCACAGTTGTGTATGGGGGGCCTCTGTTCATTTCCTCCTGTCAGAGCCTAGGCAGGAAGGCAGGTCAGGGCCCGCATTCCCAGCCCCTAACTGTTCTCTGCTTCTGTGCTGGCTTGATGGACAGCTCATGGAGAATGCAGTGTTCACATTTGAGCAGTTGCTCTCCCCGCATCTCCAAGGAGAGGCTTCCAGAACAGTGGCTGCCATTGAGAAGGTTAAGCTCCGTGTCTTAAAGGTAAGAGCATTTTCATTTGTAGGAAGCATCTGACAAAATTGTGACCCCTGTTCCTGTTCCTCAGTGGGAAACCCTGACCTCCCTTTCACCCCATCTGGCCCCTTTTCCCAAGCACAGATGAACATTGTTCAGACTCCCTAGCGTGACTCTCATGCCTCTCCTGCCATCTAGTGGCTCCTTTGGGAACCACTTGTCCTCAGCTCTAACAAGTTAGAAGTAACCTGTGGGATTTCTTTCACAACTTGGCAAATGTGTTATGTCTGGCCACCGCAAACTCTGTGCCAGATATTGCATAGTACAAGGCAATAGGTCAGCTGCGGTCAAGCATTCCAAGTACTAATTCACTAAATTAGTCAACATTTTAAATAAAACCCAAAACTTAGCTAAGGGAAAGTATAGCTGCCCCGTGAGATTTTTTTTTTAATGAGTTTTAAGTATGTGTGTATAATAAAACTGTTGTGATAATAGGAGCTTACATGTATTTGGTCTTTATAAAGATTTATAAAAATTCATGTTCCTAAGATTTGTTGTTCCTAAATTGTCACTCCAAAAATTTCTATTTTGAGTTTTTATTACTTATACATGTTTGCATATGTGTGACTATATGCCACCTGCATGTGGTTCCCATGGAGACCAGACAAGAATGTCCAATCCCTTAGAGCTGAAGGTACAGATATCTGTGAGTCATCCAATGTAGGTGCTGGGGACAGAATTTGGGTTCTCTAAAAGACAGGGAGCACTTTCACCCACACAACCATCAAGACCCCAGGACCTTACCATTTCCTTTGACCCTCACTGAGTTCATTAGACTTCACCCCCAGGGCAGAAGAGGAAGCAGACCCTCAGAAAGCTGGACTGCCTTACTCAGGCTAAGCAGGCTAGTGAACCATGAGCTTGCAGCTGAAACTGTATTTATACCTGGTCTACTCATTTCTGCTAACCCCGGCTGCCCAGAAAACAGTGTTTTAGAACAGAAATTTGAAGTCCCATTGTGTCTGAGGGATGTCCTAGAGTTCCAGACTCAGGCAGGAGACTCTCTGACGACCAAACTGTTGAGGTGGTCATCACAACACAAATAATAACACTCTATCAATGGTATTGAGGGGAGGGTCCAACTACAGTCATCATGTGCTTCGGCAGACAGGAGAGGAAGGAAATAGAAAGCTGTCACAATCCTCAGGCATTGGGGTTGAAAGGAACTTAGAATACCTCAAGTTCAACATTCTAACCAATGTTAAATTGTTGCTTTCCAGTGCACCAGGCCCACCTGAGTCCTGGGAAAGGAACTTCCGGTGGTGTTTGGGGCCATGACAATACCCAGCTGTGGATGACTCAATACTATAGTTTGACATGTGCTCTAGAGTCGGGGTTCCCTGTAACCCTTGTAAGCATCCTAAACATTGGATGAACTGTAGACCCATGTGACAGGAGACTAGCTATTGATGGTTTCCAATTCCTGAACTCAAAACATCCTGGGTTTCCTGGCTACATTTTGCCATGTCCAGCTTAGCCTTTCTTTTATTTAGAGAGGCAACATTGTAATTGTAAAAAAGTTCAAGTGATATGAAAATCAAACATTTGTAAAAGAGCAATTGGTTTGGAAGGAGACAAAATCCTCACCAGTAGTCCATCAAGTAGCTATAAAAGCTGTAGTTAGATGTATATAATTAATACATATATATACATATATATGTATTAATTATATAGAAGGTGACGACTTACAGAATTCTGCAGATACCAGGTACCTGCAGATAAGAGGACAGATCTTCAAGATCTGGCCTTTCAGTGATTTTGGATTTCTGTGTGACAGCCCAGATAGCCAGATTTTCTGATAATTTTCAAGCATTTATTCTTTTTTACTTATTATCTCCTTGTGTTAGTCAGGGTTTCTATTGCTGTGAAGAGGCACCATGACCACAGCAACTCTTATAAAGGAGAACATATAATTGGGAGGTGGTTTACAGTTCAGATTTTAGTCAGGAAGCAGATGACACACAGGCAGACATGGTGCTGGAGAAGGAGTGGAGAGTTCTTACATCTTGACTCACAGGTGACAGGAAGTGGTGAGACACTGAGCATAAATGAGACCTCAAAGCACCCCCTCCACTCCTCCAACAAGGCCACACCTACTCCAACAAGGCCACATCTCCAAATAATGCCACTCCCTTTAGGGGCCATCTTCTTTCAAACCACCACACTTCTATTCAAATGAAATTATTGCTGCAATTAAAACTTTGAACTTACCAATAAACTATTTACTACTTTAAAGAAAAGTTTCTGCTAGGGATGGCCCTGTGAGTACTCAGTCCCCTCCAAAATCAGAACAGATTCCACCTCCCAAGATAGCTGGTTCTGCCTCTCCATTCACTGATGTTAGATCCAGGCTCTTGGCACTGGAGCCTCTGCTTCTCCTACCTCCCTCCACAGCCTTCTCCATTGGTGGCCTTTGGCTGAATAGGGGAGTATTTGCTCCCACTTATGTCCTGCAGTATGAGTGCTCTCCTCTCCAGCCATTCTTTTCTTGGCTGAACCAGTGTTTACTTGCACACAGCAATTCTCTTGAGTGCCTGTGTGCAAGGCACCGGTATCCACACACAAACCAGGATGGAAATGGACTGCTCTCAAGAGCCTGCTCTTGATGATTCTTAAGTTTGAATGTGTTCTTTTGCCCTCTTGTACTTCCGGGCACTAGACTAAACCAGAGGGCTGTGGGTGAACTCTTTTGTAAGTGTCAGGTAGATGTTTTAGTCCCCATGGGCCTGTTTCTATTGCAACCACTCAGCTCTGCTACATAGACTCTGGTTTGGGATGTTCAGTGTTGATGGAGCTTTAAGCCTCGCCCTCTCTCCCCTTGTGGACATTATTACAGGCAACCCACCCTGCTTTAGGAAAAGAGAATAATTGATATCCATGACTCCCCTGTGTCTACCCAGCTGGGACTAGTGAAGCACAAACTCACTTTCTAGTTTGAGTAGCATCTCTATACAACATATCACTTCTTTGTTTTGATCTTGCCTCCGTTCCCATATTTGTAGAAAGGATGGGTGAAATGGATCATGACTTCACAGCCCAGACCTAGTTTTATGCAAGAGTTCCAGGAAGAGATCTCTGAAGCCCTAAACTTATAAGAGTCTCAGAAATCAGTGAGGAGGGGGCTGAGGAAGGGAGATGACTGGGTGGGTGTATTGTTTTACTGTTTAAGTGAACATTCTAGATTGAAACTGCTCCTTAGCCTGTGTCTCTGTGTTCGCAGCAATATGATTACGATAGCAGCACCATCCGGAAGAAGATCTTCCAGGAGGCACTGATTCAAATCACACTGCCCACCGTGCAGAAGGCACTGGCATCCACATGCAAACCAGTAAGGAAATGGGTTGCTCCCCACAGCCTGCTCTTGTTGACTCTTGGGTTTTATTTTGTACTCCTGCCCTGGCAAATACTAGACTGAACTGAGGGGCCGGCGAATTCTTCATGGATGGTCAGGTGATGTTTTAGGCTTCATGGGCATTTCTGTTGCACACATTCAGCAATAGCAGCCAGAAATGACAGACAAATACATAAAGTCTGTGTTTCATACACTTATGCACGCATGCATGCACACATGCACGCAGCCCAGGATTTGTGACTCCTGAACTATAGGAAATCCCACAGGCTAAGGACCAGGCTTGAGCCAAGTTCTAAGTGCTGACGTGGAGATCTTCTCCTATTTGTTGTCAGTCTTATTTAGCAAGTGCACTGAAAGTTGGCTACTACACCCCGGAAAGATCGAAGTGTGATCACAGAGAGCTGTTTGTTCTCCTACCTTCTGTATCTTCAGTTTACTGAAATCTCTGACATAAGCTCTTGTGAGCATGGGGCTGAAGGACAGCCATGATTGTGAGGTATGAGATGAGGCTGCAGGACAGCCATGATTGTAAGATATGAGCAGAGCAACGGGCAAGTAGTGTCTGGAGGCTTCTTCTAAGCTTGTATATAAGTTCTGGCTCCCCTGTGTTCTGCTCTAGGCCCCCAGGGGAGCCCCTGTTCTCATTTTGATTAACTTCCATCATTTATAAAATTTGTCTAGTAATGTGTATCTTCCTTTTCATTTTTCTTTTATCCTCAACTCTCCCTTTTTTTGGACAGTATCATGCTATGTAGCCCAGGCTAGGCTTTAAAACTCCTAGTCCATTTGTCTTAGCAGCCTCACCGTGCTAAAAATTACACCTCCACACCTGGCTTGCATTATCTGTCTTAAGAATGAGAAATTAAGATGATACATTTGCCATCTGATTAAGTTCATATCACATACCAGGCATGGTGTTAAACACTTCTTATCGATCATGCAGATGAATTCACAGCATTCCCCGGAGGAGAGAGACTCTTCGCACCCTCATGATGCTCAAGAGGGAAGTTCAGGGGTTGAAGAGCAGGCCCAAGGTCACAAAGCCAGTCACCACCAGCTGAATCCAGTTTCTATTTACCTATAACACATCTGGCACTCAGCAAATGGCATCAGCCTCCCCTACAACTATTACTATGACTGTTCCTGCATTCCAAAAAATTACTTAGGAGCCTGGCCATTTTCAAGGCCCATTCCCCCTTAGAGTCAATAAGAAAGAGCATCATAGAATTTTTAAATGGCTTTTTGACAGTTTGGAGAGTCTCCAAGCACTGAACATTCAAATCCTTGGTGTGGGTTTTTATACAGTGGAATTTTCTTTGGTTGTTTCATATTCTATAAATGCTGTTTTTCTTCAGCTATTCATTGGCATATTCAATCTTGCATTTATTCCTGGAATATTTCTTGGTGGGAAAGATCTGAGAAAACCAAAGAAGAAAGTAATTGGTCTGAGTGTCCCTTGTCCATATGTGATAGAACATAGTAGCCTGAAGGATTACTAATCTACCTCATAATGTGTCTTCACACAGAGATGTACTTGAAATGTGTTTTCACTTCCAAGGGAAGCATACCTTACCACTACCTTCTCTGTGTGCCCTCTGTTTCTTTTTTATTATTATTTATTTATATTTTATGTGTATTTGTATTTTGCCTGCATGTGCATCTGTGTGAGGGTGTCAGATTATCTGGAATTGGAGTTACAGACAGTTATGAGCTACTGTGTAAGTGCCTGGAATTGAACCTGGGTTCTTTGGAAGAGCAGTTAGTGCTCTTAACCATTGAGCCATCTCTGTAGCCCCTGTTTCTTAACATGAAAGGAGCGAAATGTGCCCAATTTATGCAGCTCTTGTAGATTTTTTTTGTATTGTTTTGTTTTGTTTTTCCCCAGGTATATGCATGAGAGTGCTGTGGTGTGTGTGGGGTGGGGGGCAAAATTGATCCAGAATGTCTTCTTCCATCTCAATGAACCTGGAGCTTGCCAATCAGCTAGCCCATCTAGACAACTTGGCCTATGGACCCTGTCTCTGCTTCCCCAGCACTGGGTTTACAGGCAGTCCATCGCCCGGCCCCCTCCCCCTGCTTTTGTGGGTGTTAGGGATCTAGATATAGGCAAAAGTGATGCTTTATCCAGTGAGCCATTCCTCCAGCCACTGCTATTGCCATTGTTAGTTGAGAGAGGTTGCTTTCAAAAGAGCCCATACCCTGAATTTTCATCGATAAAAAGACATTGTGTTAGTGTCAGAGCTTTTGGAACCCTGGGTTTACAGGCAGATATATTAGAGGGTTATCTGCTTCATGGAAGTCTTTATTTTCCTAATGTGAGTTTTTCTTAGTTCTTTCAGTAGCTGTTTCCTAGATCTGTGACAGTCCACTCTACCCTAGCTGTGCAGTAGAATTGCCCATGGCAGCATTTTCTTCTCTTAACTATCTTCCAAGCCCTGATGTCAGGATTTCATTTTAGTTGATCCATAAAATTAAGCATCTGACCCAATTCAATTGTCTCATCATGGAAGCTGTGCTTTGTAAAATTAGACACATCCCAGCGACATAAGTGTTCCTTCGTTCCCTTCCCACGGAGTTATTTAATTGGATGAAAATATGTTTTCTACTTATGCAGCAAACACACCTCAAAAATGTATCAAATATAATCCAGATATAAAACATGATCCAGTTTACTGTCCCTGCTGTCCTAAAGTTCACAGTAGAGAGGCAGATGCCAGGCAGACAAGATGCCAATGTGAGCAACACAACAGAGTCTGCACAGGAAGCGGCTCCTAGGCAAGGTAGCCACATCCTTGCTGAGCTCAGACTGTTCAGGGAACTCTCCAGAGTCTTGCTTTCATTCCGTGCCAGTGGATGAGTGTCAGGGGAGTGAAGAACAGGGGTGTTGAGGCCTGAGCTTGCACCCCTCATATAACAGAAGCAAAGAAAGGCCCAGAGTGGTATCCTGCTTGCCCAGGCTCCCATGAGTGGTATCTTTTCCAGGGCAATGCCCCTTCCCTATCTTCAGGGTTCTTGTCTGTTACACCTTCTAGAAATCACTGAAGCTCCTGTCTCCTGAGTCTTTCACCTTTCTTCTCAGTGTACATGAACAGGCCCTATTACCATCCATTGGTGGGACCGTAGCACCCCCATCTTGGCACTGTCTGGACAGGGTAGTTCTCTGCTGCCTGCAACAAATGCTGGTCATCAGACCAAAAGGCATCAACTCTCACTGCCACGTCCCTGTTCTCTAAAACCTGCTCCCCCCAAGCACTGCCATGTGCCTGGATAACTGAATTCATCTCTGTCATATAATCAGTGGCATTTTATCCCTGTCTGGTTTTCATGCTGGTCACAAAGCATTTGGAAGCCTTTGGGAGGCTGGCAAAGGCAAGGGATTTTGCATCATGTCTGAACTGTCTTGGAATTAGTGACTGTTAGTGCTGGTTGAAGAGGAAGACTCCTTGCTTCTCAACTGGAAAGGGGCTTTGTGTTAATAATGTTGAACATATGTCTACATCTGAGCCAGCAAACTCACTTATAGATATCTACCTAAGATAAACAAGTTCTTAAGTTGTTCGTACAGAATAGAATGTACACAAAATGTTCATTAGTAATAAAGTCAATGTCTTAGTCATTGTCCTCCCATTACCGTGAAGAAACACCGTGACCAAGGCAACTAACTTATAAGAGAAAGCATTTAATTGGGGCTGGCTTACAGTTTCAGAGATTCAATCTATTATCATCATGGCAGGAAACATGGCAACATGTAGGCAGGCATAGTCCTGTGGAAGTATTTGAGAACTCCATACTTATCTACAGACATATATATATACACACACACACAGAGAGAGAGAGAGAGAGAGAGAGAGAGAGAGAGAGAGAGAGAGAGAGAGAGAGAGAGAATGACAGAGAGAACTAGACCTGGACTTTTGTAACCTCAAAGCCCACTCCCAGTGACACACTTCCTCCAGTAAGGGTACACCTACCCCAACAAGGCCACACCTCCTAATCCTTATCAAATGGTGCCAATCCTTGGTGATTAAGCATTCAAATATATGACCCTTTGGGGGCCATTCTTATACAGATCACCACAGTCAATGTCAAATGAGTAGGGATGAACAATTCCAACTTACTTATATAGCGAATGATGTTTATCAACAAAGAGGAATAAGCTGCTCACCCATGTAGCAATTTGGAAAAATCTGGAAAGCAAACACAAACCAATACATGGTTTCATTTACATGCAAAACTCAGCCTACTGTGACAGACGTCAGATCAGACCTCATCTCTTGGCAGGATGTGGGCTAGAAGAGGACACCCTGGGTTGTGGTCACATGTATACATTTATGGTTAATTTCATCAGGCTACGCTTTTAAAATCTGCATTTCACTGCATTTAACTTTTACTTTGGTAAGGTACTATTTGCATCAGATAAAAATGAAGAAGGAAGCATTGGCTACTATAGAGAAAAATAGGTTATAGCACCCCTCAGATGTCTTGAGACGCCTGGAAAAATATCCTCTGCTTTCTTCCCATTTGAAGTACACATGATGCATCCATCCCCTGTGCACAAAAAGGGATAGGGATGGCCAACGGTGAGTGCCTCCTTACCACAGTAAAGTGCTTAGTGCAGACAGGAGGCCTTGGAACACAGGGAGACCTTGGCTGCCTTGTCATCCAGCATCTTTAACCTGTAGCACCAGCTGCTGTCCTCCCAGGCTCTTCTAGGAGGAGGTGCTAAGTGAGAGTCATCTTTCCCTTATCTCTTTTGAAAGCAGGCATCTTATGGTTTTTCTTTTGTTTTCAGTATCATACATTAGTTACAGAAAATTAATGGGTTCCTTTTTATTTTCATCTGTGTATATACTGCATTTGACTATTGTCACCTCATCACCCTCTCTTGTCCCCACTCTTCTCCCCTGCCAATCCTCTTTCCGACAGTCTCCCAGCTTCTATGTCTTTTTAAATTTTTCCTAAATCTAGATTCTGCATGTAAGAGAAAATAGGCGCTGTTTGCCTTTCTGGGTCTGGATTATTTCAGTTATCTCCATTCGATCCATTTCCCTCATATGCCATACTTTCATTTATTGTGTGCATACCACGGTTTCTTTATTCATTCATGCGTTGATGGGATTGTAGGTTGGTTTCATATCTTGGCTACTAAGAACAGTTTCCTTCAGGTATAGATGCAAGAGTGGTAGCTGGATCATAGGTAGTTCTACTTTTAGTTTTCCCAGGAAGGTCCATACTAATGTAAACAATGTCTCAACTAACTCCCATACCTACCGGCTGTGTGTGAAGGTTCCTCTTTCTGCACGTCCTCGCCAGCATTTGTTTTCTGTTGTTGTTGTTATTTTTGCCATTCTGATAGTGTGAGGTGGAATTTCAATGTAGCTTTGAGTTGCACTCCTCTGCCATCATATCTTTTCTTCTTCATCCTTTTATCTCTCACTCTCCAGGAGCTTCAGAAGTATGAGCAGTTCATCTTCGCAGATCACACCAATATGATCCATGTTGAGAACGTCTATGAAGAGATCTTGTATCAGATTCTCCTTGACGAAACCCTGAAAGGTGAGGATGGCTCAACGCTCCATAATGGGAAGCACTCCTGAAACAGAACTCAGGGAGGCTGTAAGGTCAGAATGAGGATGAGCTGCAACTGGTTTTGATGTACACAGCAAGGAGAGGGCAGGCAGGCAGGAAGGACCAACCTCGCTGTGCACCCACGAGGTGTGCACCGTGTGGCCATGACAGTCCTCTTTCAATGCAAGCATGAATTCTGCAGGATGAGAGGTCAGACTTTATCACTGGAGAGGGAAGAAACCAAGGCTTACTGGGGCTGAAGTGAGGGTCTGTCCTGCAGATCTGTCTTTGCCGCTATGTGCTGGAAGAACAAAGGGCGTTCACAGCTGAACAGAGGTGACTCCAGCAGCAGGGCCCAACACTTGCTCCCTCAGCACATTCCTCCCTCCACTCAGCCAGACAGAGACACAGGACAGCGGCACAGCACCCTGAGAGCCTCTCTAGGAGTCTGGCATCCACTGTGCTGTGTACTGGGGCCCTGTCTAGGATTACAGTATGAATGGACATATGTTGAAAATATTTTGGAGGAGGCTGCCGTCTGTCTATAGGAGTGAAATTTACTTGGTGTTCATAACTAAAATAGCTCCTCCAATGAGAGAACTGGGCCAGCACACACCTCAGGTCACAGTAGCTAATTACAGGTGGTCCCAGATGAGGAAGGCAAAGGTGTTGACATGGCATCTGCGCAGAGGTCATGGGCAGCCTGCCTCAGACATGTCTAAGTAAGTTGGAAGGAGATTCCTCTCCTCCATGACCTCCCCTCTGCCTCAAACATGCTGCAAGATGCCATTCGTCACACTTGTGCTGGCTGCTGACAAATCATGCTCACTGCCCATAGCCACTCTGCCTTTGTCATGAGTGACACCCTCTTCGAAGTGGCATTGTTGGATGCTACAACCCTGTACAGTGGTCTGTGGCCAAATAATCAGGCACTGTTGTTTTTGTTGTTACTTTCTTTGTTCCTCTCCATGCATTTGAGACTGAGGTAGGTACCTGTGGACACTCCAGGCCAAACAAGCCCTCTCAGCTGTATGCTTAGCACTGAATACCCACTATATAATCAGGACCAGGCTGTCAGACAAAACAAGGAAGTGGAAAACCTGCCCCTATCATAGTGGGGTTCCAAACTAGCCACCTATCTTAGCAGCCGGGTGACACAGAGGTATATGATACTTTTGTAGACTTTGAACTCTTTGAAAGCCAAAGTGTTCTTTTTATTCTCCTCTTGATGGATGCTGGCCTCAAATTAGATGCCTATCAAGAATTTCTTGATTGAAGAAATTTGTGAATGGGTACTACCAGGATTCGGAGTCTGGGAAGTTTGCAGGCTTTGATCATCAGGAAAGGCAACCTGGAAGAGGTCGTTCCTAAGCTGGGTCTTGAAACTGAGTGACTGGAGCATCAGAGGAGTCAGCAGGAATGACTGGCTTCTGGGTAAATCAGAAAATCCAGATTTGCTTGGCAGAGTACTGATGGCATGTCTTTTTTTCCGGTCTCTTTCAGTGATCACAGAGGCAACTGTCTTGAAGAAACACAACTTATTTGAAGACAACATGGCCTTGCCCAGCGAAAGTGTATCTAGCCTGACAGATCTCAAAACCTCCATGGGGTCAAACCAGGCCAGCCCAGCCAGGAGAGCGTCTGCCATTCTCCCAGGGGTCCCAGATAATGAAGTGTTTCAGGAGCCAGAGGAAAAGATGCAGCAGCCTGGGGTACCCAGCTCACTGGTCAGAGAAGGAAGTACTTCCATCCCTGGGTCCAGTCCTCCTTCAGGTGGGGATGGGCAGGTGACTGTGTCCAGTGTGGATAGCTCTGCTGGGAGTCCTCTCACTGCAGAGGATAGGGCAGGACCCCTCAGCTCACACTTGTCAGAGGTAGAAAGTGGGGAGACCCTTAAAGAAGAAGAACCCACCTGTGAAATGCCAGAGTCTATCGTCACTCCAGGGTCCTTGAAGGAGCTGAAAGAGCTGTTGACTGTGACAGTATCCATAGAGTCTACCCCAGTTATTGAGAATGATACACACGAGGGGACACATGCTCCCCAAGAAAATGAAAAAGAAGACAACAAGATCTACCCAGAAGCCAGTCAGACAGCTGCCATCCAGCAGGACAACTGTGAAGAAAGTGAAGTCAGAGAGAGCGAGGCCCACCCTACCCCTCTGGAAGCTGAGTCTTCTGGAGTGGACTTGGGGACAGAAGCTAGCAGCACTACCTCTCAGTCCACTGGTGGGGGGCTCACTGAGGACACAGGCTGTCTAGGTCCCTTAGGGGAGCCATCTGAGGCCCCAGAGCCCGCTGAAAATGTACCCCCAGCCATAGTTTCCACACAGGACACCACCCACATAGAAGGCAAGGCTGTGCACGCCGAGGCGGTCACACTGCAAGAAGATGCCACGTTAAATTCGGATCCTACCTGTTCTATGGAGAGGAACGAGATGCCCCAGGTTTATGAGGATCCAGAAGTGCAGGAAAGGAATGATAGCCCAGCCCTTGCCACCCGTGTGCATGGGTGCCAGTGGGTGGTAGAGGATGCCCCAGGCACCAACACCTCAGAAATGCCTGATAATGATGTGAACTCCCCTGAACAGCCCTCAGAGGAGTAGTAGAAACAATTTGGCCAGAGTTTTTCTTTTAAAACTGTTGGTCAAAGAGTTTTAGTTATGGGTATCCATAGGGGATTGCATGTGGATTGCTATAAAACTTATGAAATATTTCCTTAATTTGAATGATAAGGCCAGAGGAAATGTATGCAGGGTATGAACATTTAGGCCAACCTTGGGGGGCTGGACTGCTCCCTGTGAATGGCTACTTTAGCATCTTAATAGAAGTGATGAGAGAATTGGAGTATTGGTGTGAAAAGCAGTTAAAGGGGCTCCAGAGGGGGAGCAGTACTGCAGCAGAGACTAAAAGAGCAGGAACAGGCACCTTGATACTCTCTGCACTGAAATGTGGTGCAAATTACTGCACTTTAAGGTATTTTTTAGCAAGAGTACAAAGGTCTACGGTGACTCCAGCCTTGCCACCTTTTCTGTCAGCTTCACCGCCTCTTCCATGGCATTTGTCCATTGTCAGGCCACAAGAGAGAGGAAGTCATGAGCGCCAGGCACCCCCTACCCTGTGAAGGGCCCCAGAGCCAGTCGTGGCTAGCAGGTCTCAGGTGATGCAGAGCAAAAATTCAAGGAGGAAGGTCTGTGGAACTATCTAGGGCCCTGTTCCTAGTCCTGCTATCAATTCCTTGTTGGTTAATTTTGTTGATTTGTACTAGTTAATCACTCTTTGAGGGAATTTGGATGGGGCAAGAGATTTTATTGGCACAAATTAGCCTTAGGTTGTGCAAAGTGCTTAGCTAAATTTTCTAGCTCGAAACCTACCAATTACACAGACATTATTTGAACAGCTAGTGCATGCTCTATTAGGCACAGTAATAAGTAAAGGATCAGGCATTTTGCTTCATATAAATTAAATTACTCATGAAAATACAGTCTAGAAGAAAAGAGATTTTTTTCCCCCAATTTTTAAGTTTCAAACCATGACAGTGGTCACTCTCCATTTACACAGTACTGGTTTACTCTCAGAAGGGAACGAGTGAATGCATGAGTGGACACGGGAATGAATGAAATCATTCAAGTTTCTGTCATTACCAAAGACACAATCAAAAATAGAAATGGTTTGATCATCCAGCAAATTAGTTTCTTAGGTACCCTAAGCAAGGTACCCAGGTAGCAAGCCTGGGGATACCATAATGGAAAGACCACTGTTCCTTCTTTCTGAAGGAAACAGAAAGGAATTCACCTTTAACATAGATTGCAACCTGTAACTGTTGGTATAAGCGATGAATTACTCAACTGCAACATATCTTACTGTGTTTCAGAAATATCTCAGATTGCTCCCTGAATGTTGCAGTCCTGGGCAGTGGGCCCGATACTTCCTTTCACATTTCAACACCAGCACCTCACACGTTGTCTTCAGAGCTTGTTTTCACTCATTGCCATCAAGTGTCTCCTTCAGAGATGTTATCCCACAATACAGCCAGTTAAGCAGGAATCGGGCTATTTCCCTTCCGACCTCTCCCACAAAGAATTTCTGGGATTTCTAAGTCATAAAGGATGAGTAATTATCACACCAGCATGGTCTCATGTGAATCATTTCACCTTCTCTTGGAATGTTTATGTCCTCCAATTAAGTAAGGACGCTATAGCCAGTCTTTCCATAGTCCCTGTTTACCTTACTCCTGGCCTTCAGCAGGCTGTACCAAAATTGTGTTTACTTCCTGTCTTTTCCACAACCTCCTTTCTTCAAGGACTAAAACAAGGGATTAGTCATCATTTGTTCTTTCTGCTAGAAACCCACAGCCTTGAGTAATGGTTTCCTGCATCCTAAGTAACATTAAAATCCCAGGGCCTAACACAGGGACTGACAGGTTTCATGCTGCCCTGGAAATGTGGGAACTGAACACCTGGCACACTACTGGGCAGGGGCTATTTGGGCCTTGCTTTGAGACAGGGAGAAGTTTTTAATTAACTTTCTGACCTTGTCAAATCTTCCCCTGAATAAAGGCCAGCACTGAAGGGGCAGATGGCCAAATGGCCAGCAGTAAGGCAGGGAGCCAGTAAGGCAGGGAGCCAGAAAACAGCGTCTACCTGCGCAAACATTGCCCTTCTTTCTCGGAGAGCCATGGCTATCACAGAGTTTTAGCTCATGCCAACCTCACTCCAGAACTCTCATCTTCCCTGCTTTTGCTCACCCCCTGAGAAGCCACGTGTAAACGAGTCTGCCACTGAATTAGCAGATGAGAACTAGCACCAATCAGGAAGGCCAGAGAGGAACAGGCACTAAGTAGCAAGACATTTTAGAAGACACCAAGACTCTCATGCATGTTTCACACAGCCAAGTTCTCCAAAACAGGCAAGGCAGCTGTCACACTGGAAGATGATGAGGGGCCTGCAGTGCATTAAAATAGTCTGTATGTGTGGGAAGAGGTTGAAAGCTTGTCTAGTTTCTCATAAATGTGTGTGTGTCCTACTGTATCCACGGGGAAGCAAGGTACTGGTGATCTGAATGGACAATCTCTGCCTTCAGCAAAGCTGTTCAAAACTCCTGGTTCTTGGCCCAAACTCCAGGACCTTAAACCAGTTATGCTACTTATTGACCTTTCACAAAGAAAGAGATTTGTCCTTGAAAAAAAAATGACTTGTCATTTTGTCCTGTGTAACTTGGCACAGTGTATGGAATCATGCAGGAAATACACACACACACGCGCACACACGCACATGTATGTATGCACACACACACACACACACTTTGGAAACTACAAAGTCAGATTCCAGTTGTCGATTTCAAAGAAGTTGAGTGTAAAGAATGGCACATCATTAGGTTTGACCTATAAAATCTGTAGGTTTTTTTTTTTCCCCAGAGATCATCATGTTTGTCCTTATAATTCTTCGGATTAAAGCCAGTTACTTCAAAGGATTTTACAGTTCTCTGACACAAAGGTGATTTTTAACTTGTTACTTTTTGTGAAGTGTGACCTGAGGGTATGGTTTCAGATAGACTACGTGCCTAGCAGGCTGGAGGTCCTACTTTAACCCAGAAGTGTGTGTAGGGGAGCTATATGATATGTGCTAAATAAATAGTTTTAGTCTTTTCAATATGGGAGAAGGAATGACATTATTGACTCAAAGTCTTAAACCACAATATAGTTTCACTATATGAGAATGCAGGTACCATGTGCCTTCTCTACCATAACCACACATGACTAGGGATTTGCTTTCTCAAGTCTGAGACTTAGCGAAAAATAATTCTCCACTGTGGTTTTATTTTTGCATTCATTATATAAAGCAAGTAAACTAAAAACACTTTGTAATCATTTATTTACTCTGTCAAGTGCCTATATTCCAATAAAACATTCATCCCTAAAGGGATGTCCAGATGTCTTTTATTTGGGATGGGGCTGGCTTCATCTTTTAAGCAGATGCCACACCGGAGCTGCAAGGTACAGCTCTTAGAAATGAAAAGGTGAGTCACTCTTGCTCACTTCGGAGACTAACTTCTCTGTTGTCAGGGAGAAAGCTGCCAGGGACACCACTTAATGTCCAATAAAATTCTGCCCTAATAACATAAGCCTAGTTTTCAAGGAATTGGACTGCATCCCTAATCCAGCAATGAACAATTACTCTTGATGTATATTTTCAGTGGGTGAGATTGAGCAAAACATTGCTTCCTTCTGTAATTATAAATAAAACTGTATTTACTTACCAAGATTCACAGTTGCTCATTTATCTGTGAATTCACCCAACCACAAAGTAGTCACTGTGTGTCTCTTAGAGGCAGACACTGCAGTGAATGGTAGAAAAATAGTAGTGACTGCAGTGGCAGGACCCTAGACATTACCAAACTCAAATTCTCAGCATGCATATGGCCAGGGAGAACCAAGAGCACACATATGTTTCCTCTACCGACATAAACCTCATCTGTGATGTCAGGTTTAGCGCTGCACCAACACCTTAATTCAGGAGAAAAACAAAACAAAACAAAAAACAAACAAACAAAAAACCACATTGGTGATACAGAGTCCAGTAGGGATGGGAGGCACTCGAAATGTCTGATACTTCCTCTGCTTGCCTATCAAGCTCAGATAGGAGCTGGGGTTGGAGAGTTTTACTTGGCTCTTAGGTCCTTCTTAGATGCGATGGTTATTGGTTGTGAGTGACTTAGGGAAGAGGAATGGAGACCTTGGGGGTGGGGGTTGCTTGGATCTGCCTCTGCTTGAACAGCTCAGAACCTTTGGCACATTCTTCACCTATCCAAAGCAGCTGACTCCCTCCTCCCGCTGACCAGTTCCCATTTTTTTCCTGGAAGAGTCAAGGCAAGTCGAGGTATACCCTCCACTGTGTTCCTATACCACTCAGCATCACTTTCTGAACGTTGACCCCAGTTTACTTGCCTACTTCTGGTCATCCCACTGCAGCCATTTACTTTCTCAATGCCTTTGGGGAAGGATCCTTCAACATTCAATCCTTGTGTCTCTGGCAAAGCAGTGCCCTTGCATACAGAAAATGCTCAATACATGTTGAATGAATGAATTGACAAGACACCCTCCTTCCTGCTCAGAGACAAGAGGAGATAGGGCAGAATGCTGTCCCTTCAGCACAGGGCTTAGGATTCTAACACCTTTATTTATGCATCCTCTGAGATATATATGCTGTAATAATGAAACTTGACCATGTGTTTTGCATACTCACTTCTCTGGGAGAGTGCTGAAGAGCCACGTCATTAAAAAAAAAAAAAAAAAACAACAACAACAACAAAATAAAAACTTGCTAAGGACTACAAACCCAGTTTTCAGGGTAGTAGGCAGCTGCCACTAGATTTTCCTAAGGTCTCCTTGATGTGAGCTATCCAAAAAGGTTAAGAAGTTCCTTTGCAGTAAAATCTGATGGGCACAACATGAGCAGGTGACCATGGTCAGCACTCCCTTCAGGCCAGCTCTCCTCTTGAGTTGGGCAGGGAAGATGATGCAGTCCCTACTTTGCAGAGATTCAGAGGGAAAAATCTCCCCAGGATTCCCTTCCCCAAACCCTTACTTAAGCTCTTTCTAGGAAGTGTGGTCTTCCAGGGATGCTACTCTAGACATTCTACAGACTCAGCTGGGTTCCCATGTTGTGGGAAGGAAGTGTGTTACTCCTGCTTTTTAAATCTCATAAGAAAGATGTAAATGAGATTTCTGGGTGAGACATGGTGGTGTCCCAGTTACTGGAAGGCTGAGACAGGGAGATTATCTGAGAACAGTGTGAGCAACATAGTGAGGCATCCCATCTTAAAAGACACAATTAAAAAGAAAAAACAACCCAATCTGCCGTGGTGGCTTATGTCTGTAATCACAACACCTGGTAGATGGAGACAGGTGGGTCTAAAGTTCAAGGTCATCCTCAGCTACATGTGTAGATCCAGGCCAGCTTGAGGCACATGAAACCCCATCTATACAAAAGGATCTTAAAAATAAATAATAGAAATGAAAAGATACTTTGCTTGACTAAGGTTTAAGATATTTTAAAGATGCATTGTTTTTATTTTTTTAAATGTGTGTGGGTTATTTTGCTTGTATGGATGCATGTGCACTGTATGCAAGCCTGGTGGATACATGTGCACTGTATGCATGCCTGGTGGATATATGTGCACTGTATGTAAGCCTGGTGGATGCATGTGCACTGTATGTAAGCCTGGTGGATGCATGTGTACTGTATGTAAGCCTGGTAGATACATGTGAACTGTATGTAAGCCTGGTGGATGCATGTGCACTCTATGTAAGCCTGGTGGATGGATGTGTACTGTATGTAAGCCTGGTAGATACATGTGAACTGTATGTAAGCCTGGTGGATGCATGTGCACTCTATGTAAGCCTGGTGGATGGATGCATGTGCACTGTATGCATGCCTGGTGGATGCATGTGCACTGTATGTAAGCCTGGTACAGGTGGAAACTGGGGTGGGCTCTAGATCCCCAGAACTGGAGTTAGGGACAGCTGATGGCTGTTATGGGAGGTGCTGGAAGCTAAACCTGTGTCCTCTATAAGAACAGAAAATGCTCTTAACCTGAGTCATCTCTTTAGCCACCCAAAATACTTTAAAAATAAGAGGTTTTCTCTCTGTAACTAAGCAGCAACATTCACATTGCTTATATACTGTGTGGTTACTCACAAGACAATCAGGAGTCATGGCCAACAGGTTTATCCTCTTAAGATGAGGGGCAAACAAACACATTTAACAACTCCATACTTGGACATGGTTTTCTACGGCAATTAATCATAGTCTTTAGAAAAGGCTGCCATCCATGAGGGTAACTTAAACATGTACTCACTTTAAAAGGGAGCTCCTTTCCTCTCTAGAGGAGTGGTTCTCAATCTTCCTTATGCTGTGACCCTTCATTGCAGTTAAAGGGTCCTCATGTTGGGGTGACCCTCAACCATAAAATTATTTTATTGCTACTTCATAACTAATTTTACTACTGTTATGAACTGTAATGTAAATATCTAATATACAGGATATTGAATACGAAACCCCCAGAGGGGTCTCATATCAGATTTAGAACCACTGCCCTAAATTAAATCTACCTCTTGGCCCCAGAAAGTTAGCTAGAAACTTAGTTTTTTGCCACCAAACACAGATCTTACAATGTTTACCTTGTATGGTCATCATTCCTTAGTCTTTGTAATCATAGTCACTGTTCATCTGCAAATATCCCTTGTCCATCCCCTTCACCCATAGTGTGATCTGCAGATATCAACTGTCCATTCCCTTCACCCATTAGTGTGAGCCCCAGGTCCCCAAAGCACTCAGGCAGTTGCTGCCCTTCCTTACTATTTAAAACTGCACCATGGAGCGACATGTCTAGTCCTATTTCCACATGTTGAACATGCTATGGCACCTGGAAGGTTCTTCCCTTTCCATAAGGATGTAGCAAGACTCACTCTGCTCCCAACACCTTCAAGCTTCCATTCTGAGCATCTCTCTCAGCTGCTACATCTGGCAACAATGGTTTCGGCATTTAAGTGTGTGCTGCCATGAAAATTTTGATGATTTCTGTCATAACCAGAGGGACAGATTTTAGAGGAGAGAGTTTTCTGTAATTGCCTTGAGACATACTCACAGGGGTGGGTTCATCCAGTGTGCCACCACCAACCCATCGTGCCTGCATTTGCTTTCTTAGGCTTTCCCGCTGTATGGTCACCTGCCAAGGATGTCTACCCAAGGAACACATTCCATTTCCAGACAACTATAGTTAGAGCACAAAGATATTCTCTCCTTTTCCTCTCGAATCAGCCACAACCATAATTCCTACTCATGGGCCCCATTCTGTCCATCAGGGCTATACTTGCCGTTCTAAACCTCACTTTACACAACTTTCAAACATCTCCAAGTAGCTGAATACCCCTAATTCAACTCAACTCAATTCTCCCCTCCCCTCCCCTCTCCTCCCCACTCCTCCTCTTACCTTTACTCTCATTTCCCTTCCTTCCCTTCCTCTCTCTACATGGCTTTGAAAGGTTCTCCCTCCTTCCCCCCCCCCCTCTCAGATAAACAAGTTCCTTGTGTTTTTCTCCTCCAAACACCCAATCCCTCCTGTGGCCTCTGTACCCTGGGCTGTGTCCATTGCTCTGGAGCTTTTGCTCCCCACACACCTGGGTCCCTCCACCTCACAGGAAGTCAGGAGACAAACACTTCCCCTCCCTTCTTCCTCTTCTGTTCCCCTTCCTCCCCCTTTCTTGCTGTAGCTTTTGTTTCCAAACACTATGGGAAGATAACCCAGACAAAAATGATAAAAATAAACTCGAAAACTACAAGAATAAACATTTATATTTATGTTTCCAAGGCTATCATTTTTGACTTCTGAGAAAGTGAGGTAAAAAACTGTTGCATGTCAGCCCGCTGCTTACTTCTAAACAAGTGGAGCTCACCAAACGTATGTTTCCATTTCCTTACTACTACCACTATTCCTACTATCCGTGTGCGTGCGTGCGTGCGTGCGTGCGTGCGTGCGTGTGTGTGTACATGACAGTGGAGACCAGAAGACAACCTTAACGCCGGTTCCTCAGAAACCTATTTTTGAGATACGGTCTTTCATTGACCTGGAGCTTGCCCATTAGGCTAGGCAGGCAAGCCAGGAAGTCCCAGAAAGCTGTTTTTGACTCCAAGGTTTGGGATTCCAAACCTGGCTTTTTTTCTGTAGGTCCTGGGAGTCGAACTCAGGTCTCCATGCTTACATAGCAGGCACTTTACTAACTGAGCTTTGAGTTTTCTTTCTATCCCCCACCCCTTTTATTACTGACCTCAGATTGTATGAATTGACTCTTTCAAGAAAATAACTCTTCCCAGAATGCAATTCAGGCAAGACAAGGGCTTTCATGGTGTTATCTACAAA